CACAATGATATCGGAGAATCCAGGACAACAGGGGGGACATATGCCTCACCCCTTCGATAATGCGCTCCTCCCCGGCGGTCAGACACCACAACAAACTGAGCTGCAACTTCGGCGGGTTTGAGCCAGAGCTCGCAACAGAGGCCCTTTTCACGACCACCTTCTCGGGTATATACCAATCGGCTTCGACTTGGCGCGGTCCATGACGATTGGCGTCGCATTGATTCGGACCACGTCGAGCGTCGAATCGGTGGGAACCACGAACGACATGATCGTCGAGTCGACGCGCCCGCGCTGCCAAGTCATCCGTCGGACGTGCAAAGGCCTTAGAGGCGCAGATCACGCAACAAGAAATAGCCCTCCAAGAATAGGGGGGAGAAGTGCCCCCCAGGTTCCCCGCGGCACATTCATAAATCGCAAGTGCGACTCATCAGCATGGTGATCAGACAACGCGGGCCTTCGCTGGACAGGCTCGGATATTGGCCCACTTTGCCAGGCCACCGCGCGCACTCCGCCCACTGATTGGCGCTGAAGCTCGCGCAGCTTTCGAAGCCATCGTGGCCGAGATTGCCGCGGATCAGGATGAGAAGCCGCCGCCGAGACCTGACGGCGCTGGGCCAACGACTCCGCAAAGTCGAAGCCGAACGAGAAAAAATGCCCGGGGAAAAGGAAGGCGATGTCACGCCGCATCAACTCCAGACAGAAGTCGCCCTGCGAGCGCAAGAGCTCGCAGAGAACAATGAGCTGGAGCACGTCAGTGGCATAGCTCGCAAGCGCCGTGAATGGCACAAGGGTGGCCGCGCTGCCCCCCCAGAGCAGCTCAATCTCACGCGCGGCCAAGCCTCCGCGAACGACGACGCGATGTCCGCGCGCAACACTGCGCCACTGGACTTATAGGGGCAGGTCAGAGAAGCGCGCCAAACACTCGCGTCATGAGAAGAGACTGCCGATTACAACAGCCGGTTCCACAGCCACAGCGCGATGAACGCCATGGGCCTGGATTGGACTAGATAGAGATGAGGCGGCGCTCCACTTTGCTAGGTTGGTTCCGTTGGCCGACTCGATCAGCAAAGGAGACGGCGATCACCGAGATCAATCGGAGAAGCTGTTCTCTGCGACCTCCTGTTAGACCGGCAACGCTGGTCGCGACGCACGCGAGCCAGGTAATGAGGGCGCCGCGGCCCGTGCCGACGTTGCCGCGGCCGCGCGGCGCTGCGACTGGCGCGCGCGCCAGGCGTCCTCGCACCCCCTGCGTTTGAGTTGGCGGCGTGGAAACCTGGCGCCGCGCGCGCGGCGCGCCGGCGCAGCGCGGCGGAATCGCGCCCAACGCGCCGAAGACAACGCGCGCCTAAGACAAGGCCAGCAGAGCCACGGCGTTTGCGCCGCGCCCAAACTTGAAAATTTCGGCCAGCACGAACGCGCCGCACCTATATGGCCCAGCTGGCCTGATCACGCGCCCAGGGCGATGCGTTGATAGGCTCGCCGCCGCCCGTTCGGGGGCGAGCCTCGCGGCGCGGGCGGTGGGCCACCCAATCATGGCAGGCAGCGTGCCGCGAAAGGCGCGATCCTTATTTCTCCATTATAGAAGGAAGTGCACCGGGACCGACATAGTTAAATGCCGAATCGCACCTTCTGCGCCGCGCCCCCGACAATGGAAGCAGGCCGCGTGTGAGACGACGTTGATCTGCCGCAGGCAGACCAGATGAATGTTGCAGTTGGGTTCGCGCGACTAAGCGTGTTGCAGCAAAGCGCGAGCCCTTCGCGGACAGTGGCGAGTTCGAGAACCTCGATGCGAAAATTGCCACATCAGGCAGCAACGTTTTCAGAGATAATGGATTCATCCGGGGGAATTAACACGCAGACGGCAGAAACTGCGACGGGCGGCCGGCCCCTTCAAATGACGGCAAGTTTTGCCTGTCAGCTAGGACTGGCGCAGGTCGGCGGAAGCGGGCGGCTTCAACTTTGGCTTCGTCAATTTCAAGGGCGACAACCTCAGCGAGCTCATTGACGCGTGGGGCCGCGCTCTCTCGGGGGCGAAAAACCGACTCGAGCCCCCCATCCTTGACACCCATTCCAGCGCGCAGACTAACATCATCGCGACCTCGAGCGCGACGCGGGGGCGCGTCGCAGGATGGAGGGGGGCGCGGCCCGCGCAGCAGCCGCGGGCGGCCGCGCGATATGCGCGCCGAGCTCTTCCAGGGGCGACGCCTTGAAACTGCGCGCCAGCGGAGAGGGGTCGCGCAGCCGCGCCGGCATGCAGTGGAGCGCGCAGCGATTGGGCCCAGAGTGGCGCGCGCGCATCGCGAGGCCGCCCGCAGCAGCGCTCAGGGCGCGCGCAGAAGAAGATTACAGGGCCGACGCGTAGGTCGGGCGCTCGGAAGTCCCGCGGGAAGTTCGCCTCGACAGTCAAGCGCCCCACGCCGCGGCGCCAGGGAAGGCGCGGGCCGACGCGCTGGCGCCGCTGGGGCGGGGGCTGCAGGCGCGGCGATAATGGCGCCCGCGCGCGCAAGCAGCGGCGGAAGCGAGCCCGCAAAATCGCGCGGAGAGACACTTCCGCGCGAGGATCCAGCAAGTCTGCTCCAGGCCACAGAGGTAGGGCGCCGCCGTCGAAGCCGGCTCGCAGTCTCAAGCGGTCGGCTTCCCATCGATTCAGGGCGAGGGCGCTCGAGTCGGCCCGCGGGGGCGCGGGCCCCCTGGCAGCCCGAGCCGCCGCCCTCGCGGTCGCCGCCAGAAACCCAGCGCTAGGCGCCCCGCGAGGTTGCTGTTCGGGGCGGGGGAACCCGACGCCAAGCCATTCCGCCAGATTGCCCCCCTCCGCGCCGGGGGAGGCAGGATGGCGAGCGCCCGACGGGGTCTTTCTCTACTGCGGCGGAGCAACCCGATTCCGAGCGCTCGCCGAGGCATGTCTCCGCGGCGGCCAGGGGGCCTGGCGCTGAGATTGCTGCGGTAGGGGAACCCGAGGCTACGGCGACTAAGTCTGCCGCGACGCGCCGCGACGCTCGTGCCGCGCTGCTCCCGCTGCGACGCGCGGTGCTTTCATGGCGCTGTAAAATTCTTGTGGGGTCCATGACTGGGCCGAGGGCGCTGTTGGATGTGAGCTTTTGCGTGGAAGCTCTCCGCGGCGCTGCCCTCGTCGAGTCCCGACGAACGCAAAACGCTGTCCATTGCGTTTTTCTTTTGCTTGCTACAATACAGTCCAGGAATCATAGATTTGGCAGACTTGGAGCCCGAGTCAGGACCGAGGCCCCAGCAGCCTACATTGGGCTTTTCCGCGCCCGATCCCGAAGAGGCGCCGCCCGTGGGCCCCTGGAGACAAGGGCAGTATCACTACTGGAGGCAGGCACTCATGGCCCTGGGACCTCCCGCCAAACCAGGGCGCGGGGCCGAGCGATTGCATGTTTGGCGTCGGGGAAACGTGATGCGGCGAGGCTGGTTCTGCATGCGTCGGGCTCCTTGGTTTCGTCCTTGTCCTTGGATTTCTTGTCTTGGCGTCGCACGCATGTTTCGTGTTCGTCTTCTCCGTCGTCTCGTTATTTCGCCTTGTCGTCGCTCTTCCCTCTTGCGGATTGTTTCGGCTTGAACGATTGCGTTTGTGATCCTTTGTTCCTGCGGTCATGGACATCGTCGTCTTTAGCTGCAATATTTTGGTGGAAATGCTGTTCGGGGCGATTCCCGCTGAACTCGTATTTCCACCTTTCCAAAACGTTCGACACTCTGCGCATGGCACAGCTCTGGTAGCTGAAGCACTTGGAGCCGCCTTCGGACATGGCCGCCCCTCCTTTCTCATGAGGCGGGGCGGCTTCATGTGCGTCCTCCTTCCTCCTTTTGCCGACAAGTCTCGCCTTTTTTGTGCGTTCGGGCCCTGGGCACGTCTCCCTCCTCTCTGTCCCTGGGCGGGGCCCCAGGGCGAGCTGAACTTCGGAGCCCTGGGCCCAGGGGGCCGCAGGCGTCGTTTTGTTTTGCATTTTTTGTGTGCACGCGTTTGTGTCTGGTGGTTTCCCCTGCAGGGGTTCGGGGGGGTCCGGGTCCGCCCTGGCGTTTCCCCGCCATTCGCCCCTTCTCTGCCGCCGCTGCTGCGCCCGAGCGCGAGGCAGGGCGGCATCTGCAAGGGGCGCCGGGGCCGAAGCACGTGTGCCCCAGCGACAGGCATAGGGGCGTTCGCGCGTCCCCCATGGTCGGCGTCGCAAGGAACGATTGCGAATGGCTGCTGTTGTGTTTTACTTTTTTTTCTCTGGGGCGTTCTCGCGAGTCACGGGAGGGCATGGCCGCCTTCGCAGGCGAGCCAGGGCCTGATCGCTAATGTTTTGATCGGGGGCGCTTGGCCCTTTGCCATTCAGTGCCAAAATATAGGGTTGCCTCCCCGAGCGGGCCCGAGCTGGCCCGACGGCGGTGGCGGCCACGACGCTGAAGTAAGTAGCTTTGGGGGTTCAGGACGGCCTTGGGTTTCCGGGCCGCTCCTCAAATCCAGGACTCGGCACCTGTTCGTGGCCGAGGCTTGTTTCGGCCAGACGATCACATCGTTTGTTTTTGGCGCTCCTCGAGGCAGCCCGGTGACCATATCGCGCACCGACCCCCTTCGTGCTCTTCCTTTTTCCAGGGCCCATTGCGATCCGATCCGCTGCCGATTCCCACTGGCCCGTTTTTTTGCCGAGCCGATGTCGAAGCGATGCCGAGTTCAAGGCTTCTGGCGGTAGCGCGATGGCTGTGCGCTTGCCTCTTCCCGAGGACCGGCTCTGCGGCGTGCGCGTGCTGGACCTGGGCGCGTGCGCCTCCGACGAGGCGCTGGCCAGACTGTGGGGCCGGCTGCCGGCGCTCGAGGAGCCAGGCGGGCGCCAAGTACACTTTTGCACCACATGCTGGCCAGGCCCATCCAAGCAAGGAGGAGGGAGGAGGGGGAGGAGGGGGAGGAGGAGGAGGAGGAGGAGGAGGAGGAGGAGGAGGAGGAGGAGGAGGAGGAGGAGGGCGTAGGAGCGAGCGGAGGAGGGGGAGTACGGGAAGAGGGAGCGGAGTAGCGAGTAGGGTAGAGTTTAGGGGGAGGAGGGAGGGAGGGAGGCGAAGGGAGAGAGGAGAGGGGGAGGAGGAGAGATGTAGGAGGAGGGGAGGCTGAGAGGAGGCGGAGGATGCTTGGAGCGCGTCGCTAAGGCTGAGGCGGGGCTTGACGGCGTTGTGGCGGGCTGGAGGAGGAACTCTCTTGGGGGTGTTGGGTCAGGTACCCAGGCAGGTCACCCTACCCCCCCCCACTGGGAGAAAACAACACGCGTCGCCGAGCCAGGGGGGGGCGTGAACACCGACCATGGCCATGCCAGGCGCGTCCTGGGCCCACAGGACTGGGTGCACACGCACTCCTCGCCAAGCCACGGGGGCGCGTACGCGGCCTCTCCAACCCGGGGCCGAGGATCGGTGCACACGCCTCCTCCTCCCTCCTCCCTCCTCCCCTCCTCTCACCCCCACCTCCCTCCTCACCCTCCTCCCTCCTCTTCCCTCCCTCCTCCTCCGCCTCCTTCCTCCGCCTCCCTTCCTCCCCTCGTCCCTCCTCCACACCAATCCTCGTCCTCCGCCGTTCCTCCTTCCGCCTCCGCCTCTCCTCCGCCTCCCCCGCCCCCACCCCTCCCCTCCCGCCTTCCACCGCCTCCTCCTCCTCCCCTCCGCCCCCTCTTCCTCCGCCCGTCACTCCTCCCCCCCCTACTCACTCTCTCCCCCCACGCGCTCCACGGACACGTCCGGCGGGGGGCGCACTTTACACACGGGCGTCGTGGCTCACGAGACGGGGGTAAGCAACCGGGTCAGCCATCGCGCCCGATCTTGCAGGATCCTGCAGGGCCAGGGGTCCACTGACCCAGGTTGTGTGCAGGATCCTGCGGATCCTGCAGGAATCCCTCGCACTGACCCCCGGTTTTGGGTGCAGGATCTTGCAGGATTTACTGGGAATTCCTACAAGGCCCGACTGACCTTGGTCTGGATTGACCCGGATCAGAAGATCCCCGAACCGATCTTGGGCCCAGGATGGGCCAGGTCAGGGTCGGTGTGTGCGGGATGGGGAGGTCCAAGGGGAGGGGGCAGGGGTGGCATAGGGAAAGGGGTGGCGGGGTAGGGGGCAGGGCGGGGTATGGGGGAAGGGCAGGGGGAGTGTGGGGGGGGGGAGGGGGTAGTGGGACGGGGGGGTAGGGGGAGGGGTGAGGCAAGGTAGGTGCGCGCTCGCGTCGTATCTGACGTCCTACCCCTCCCTCCCATCCCTTACCATGGCGTAGATCTCCTCTCTATTCGCACAGTCGGATGTCGAGCAGGGCAACGATCTCGAGAGGGAGCGCGATGTATCGTAGAGCACGGCATAGCGGGGCGTAGAAGAGCACGGCAGAGCGCATTATGTTATATAATGGTGTGGCGTTGCGTAGTCAAGAATTGCATGACAGCGCGTTGCAACACATCAGATCATATAGAATTGCATCGCACAGCGGCACAGAACAGAGCACAGAACAGAACAGGGCATGATGTGGCGCTGATGATCAAAGCGTAGCATGGCATAGCATGGCGTGTCACTGCGAATTCAAATGCTGCATGTCTTAGCTTTGCAGCTGAAGGCATGGCATCGCACAGCCGAACACCACAGCATTGCATTGCATGCCGTGGCATGGCCCTGGAAGTAATGACGCCAGCGCTGCAGCAGGAGCACGATTTGGAACGAGCGGAAGCGCGGTAATGAGGCCAGCGCTGCAGCGGGAGCACAATTCGGAACGAGCGGAAGCGCGGAAATGAGGCCAGCGCTGCAGCGGGAGCACCATACGGAACGAGCGGAAGCCCGAGAATGAGGCCAGCGTTTCAGCGGGAATGGTATTTTGAAAACAAAGCCCAAGCGAAACCCCAATTCCCGGCAATCTTGTGTGTAAAAAGCTAGAGCGTGGAGGGGGGCCGAACATTTTCGGGACGCCATCAGGGTGGAGAGTGGGAAAGTATTCATATAGTGTAAGTGTACGTGTAAGTGTCAGTGTCAGTGTCAGTGTAAGTGTAAGTGTAAGTGTAAGTGTAAGTGTAAGCGTAAGTGTGTGTGTGTGTGTGTTTTGGGGGGGGGTAGGGCGAGGGGTCAAGACACCCCCTAGATAGCAAGCCGTCTAGCTCGCTCCCACCCGCCCTCCCACCACATGAGTAACACCCGAGCCTGAGCATGTGTTCAGCGGTCGTCTTTGGATGGACAGCTACTGGGAACCAAATCCGACCCATGTGCGTCACGCTGGGGCGAGAAGCGCCACGCGTGCCAAGCGCGCCACGCGCGCAAGGCACCCCTGGGGCGCGAGCGTGCCAGTCACGCATGGTGCGCCAGATGCGCCACGTGCTCCGCGTGCGCCAGGTGTGCCGCATACTCCAGCCGCGCCAGGTGTGCCACGTTCGGGGCACCTGCAGAGTGTGTCAGGTGCGTCTGCGCACGTGACAGCACACATCGGGACACATGTCGGCCCCCACCATCATTGTCGAAAACCAGTTCCCATCATTGTGTCTGGCGGGCCTGCGCACAGCAGGCCATACCCACCACCCCCGCCTTCCCTGTCAAAGGCCACTTGGCAGTGGTCGCGGGATGGCCGCGCATGATCCAGGTTTAGCCGCGAGGTGCATTTTGTATTGAGTTTTGTGAGGGATTGTAGCCCTGCGCACAGCAGGCAATATGCTGACACCCCCGCCGTCCCTGTCAAAAACGAAACAAAATGCTCGCGGGCCTCGCAAACATGACTCAAGGCTTTGGCCCAAAGTGTATTTCGTATGGCTTTTGACAGGGATGGTGAGGGGGAGGCGCATCAGGTTGGCCTCGCATGCTCCAATGTGGAGGCAGAGTGCGTTTTGCATTTTTTGTTGACAGGGATGGTGGGGGGGAGGGGGGGCGAGCATGGTTCCTGGTTGGCTGCCGGCCGGTCGCCTGGGGGAGGGGTGCATACTAATAGGGAACAGTGTTAAACCTATCCCAGAAGGGAAAAAAGGAGGCTGGAAGAGGATACGCCCTAATCCACTCACGCCCTACAGGGCTGGTGGATTACACACCGATCCTGGGTCTAGGAGGGGCCTGGCCAGGCTTCGTGTGCGCGTGCCGTTGTCCGCGTGCGTCTCCCTGAATGTGTGAAAGACGCGCAGGATGTCTTCGCATGCTTTCCAGTGTGCCGTTCGTGCACTGACGACACGTGTTCCTGTAGTGTGCCAGGTCTGCTGTGCGCTGGCCCGGCCGGGAACTCTTCGCAGATGCAGCGGGAACTCCATTTTGGGACGCATCGAGCCTGTAGTCGGTCTCGCACTCGACGGAGGGGCCTGGCCGGGAACTGGTGCGCGTGGACGGTTTGCCCCGGGGCCGTAGGCGACCCGAGGAGGGGAGGGCGAAGAGGGGGAGGAGGAGGAGGAGGAGGAGGAGGAGGAGGAGGAGGAGGAGGAGGAGGAGGAGGAGGAGGAGGAGGAGGAGGAGAAGAGGAGGAGGCGGAGGAGGAGGAGGAGGATGAGGAGGAGGAGGAGGAGAGGAGCAGGAGGGGGGGAGGAGGAGGAGGAGGAGCAGGAGGAGGAGGAGGAGGAGCAGGAGGAGGAGGAGCTGCAGGAGGAGGAGGAGGAGGGGTCGCCTGAGCCCTTCGGGGAGACCCTCGCGGTGCGCGCGTGCCGTCGGCGCCCTGCAGAGGAGCTGGGCTGCGTGGGCTCGCCCGGCCTCTCCGACGCCGGGCTCGCGCACCTCGCAGGTCCGGCGCCCGGCGGCGCCGACGCCGGCGCCCACGGGTGTCGGGCCGCGCTGCGGAGGTTCGGGGCGACCAGCCACGCGCAGGGGGTCGACTAGACGTAAGAGTGACCTTTCGCCGGAGTGACCTTTGGTGCGGGCACGGGCACAGATGGGCCCCCAGATGGCCGACCGCGAAGCGGTAGCAGCGGCTAGCGCGCCTGGATTTGGCCTCCCCGCGGTCCCCAAAAAGCTGCGCACCAAAGGTCACTCTTACCCAGGGTCACTCTTACGTGTAGCCGAATGGGGGGAGGGGGCAGGGCTTCGGAGGAGCGCCCCCGCTTCTCAGAAGGCGCGGCGCGGGCCTCGTCTGCAGACGTGGGGCTGGCGCCTTCCAAGAAGCAGCCTCCTTCTGAGAGGCTCCTCCTTCCCCCATGCCCCCTTGTGCGCGCCGCCAAGACTCACCACCCACCAGACCACCCCAACCCAACCCGAAGGCCTCAATTTGCCCTCCGTTTCCAGTGTGGGGGGGGGGTCCGGGAACATCGAAACAACACATATGGAGCCCATGACCTCCCAACCCGAAATTCGGGTCTTCGGGTTGGGTTGGGGTGGTCTGGTAGGTAGTCACAGACGTGTCGGGACAGCAAGAGCGCTTGGCAGTCGGGACGATCGAATTTTTGTTACGCATGGGCACAAAGACAGACAGCATGTCCGACGCATGTTGGCTGGAATCGTTGTCGGTGTCGCCTCGGACGTTTCTCATTTGAAACAAAAGGTTGCCTACCTAACAGCGTTAGCTTTAGGTTTTTTTGTTGTTGTGTATCGAACCCAAGTTGTTCTATATCAGTCTAGGGCGTCCAGAGGCAGCGCTCGGACGTGTCTCTTGTTTTGCCGGCGTGGACTATCGAGGAGCCTCCTAGGTCATCTCGCGAAAAGAAACGCACGAAGCCGACAAATGTACGGGGAGTGGACGTCCGAGCGATGGCAAGAGCGGCATACACAGAGCCTGTCGGAGGCCCGTGCGGATCTCTTGGCGTGGCGCTGGATACTTCTGGCGGTGCCTCTAGAGCCAGCCCCGCTAGGCGGGGCTGGGACCAACCGTTACAGAGCGTTCCTGGGCGCTCTGGAATGGGCCGGATCTCAGTCCTGGATCCCTGTCCGATTTTGTCTCGGTCCTGGTTTCTTCTTACCTTGGCGCGCTCCGCGCACCAGGGGAGGGGGGCCCAGCGCCGATCCTAGAGATCCGCCCAGACCTCCGAAGGGCGAGTTCGATGGTAAAGTGGGGGGGGGGCGCGAGAAGTGGGGAGAGTCGAGGGTTGCAGCAAAGGGGCCCTTAGGGGCCCTCCTGGGACCCGAAAGGTGCTCCTCGTTGTTCACCACCACCGCCCCGTGTTGTTTGCCCCCCCCCCCCCCCCAGAAGCGAGGCCCGAGCGTATGTTTGCGCAGTTGTCTCTCTCTGGGCCTCCTAGGTGAGGTCGGAGTGGATGGAGTCGGAGGATCGCGCCGCATCGCTGATGCCTCAACGATGCGGCCCGATGTGGAGCCCGACTTTCCCCACGCCGACGTCGTCGATGCACCCCGACGTCGGCGCTGTGGCGCGATCCTCCAACCCCTCCTCCTCCTCCTCCTCCTCCTCCTCCTCCTCCTCCTCCTCCTCCCTCCTCCTCCTCCTCCTCCTCCTCCTCCTCCTCCTCCTCCCTCCTCCCCTCCCCCTCCCCTCCTCCCCTCCTCCTCCTCCTCCTCCTCCTCCTCCTCCCCCTCCTCCTCCTCTCCCCCTCCTCCTCCTCACCTCCTCCTCCTCCCTCCTCCCCTCCTCCTCCTCCTCCTTCCTCCTCCTCATCCTCCCCTCCTCCCCCTCCTCCCGTCCTCCCCCTCCTCCCCCTCCTCCTCCTCCTCCTCCTCCTCCTCCTCCTCCTCCTCCTCCTCCTTCCATCCCCCTCTCGTCCTCCTCCTCCTCCTCCTCCTCCTCCTCCTTCTCCTTACCCTCTCTACTCTCCCTCACAGGGTGGACATCACCTGCTGCCCCGGGACCAGCTACGGCGCCGCCGTGGCGTTGCGACGCCGGCTGCCCGGACTGGAGCTGGTGCGGAGACTGCCCGCGTGGCTGGAGGGGCGGTTCCTCACCCCGTTCGGCGGCGACGGCCCCGAGGTCCTCCGGGCCTCGCAAGTCTTTCGAAGGAGGAAAAACACGACATAAACAAATGTTTGGCGCTCCGCGCGGATTTCTTGGATCTGCGCGGGGCCCCCCTTGGCGGCGCCTCCGGCGCCGCCCCGGGGGGGGGGTCCAGCGCAGATCCAAGAAATCCGCGCGGACCGTCGAAAGTTAATGTTTATGCTGTTGCTTGTTTCTCTGAAGTCTTGGCATCGCTCGGGCGTGTGCGTCTTGTTCTCGGCGAGGACCATCGATCGAGGAGCATCCTGGATTTGTCTCCGCAGATACCATCTATACACCACCACCGTGCCTGGCCATGGCCACCCTGGGCTCCACGATGGTGTGAACGTAGACCCCTCTGGCTTCGGCCAGGATGCGTATACACCATGCCAGGGCCAGGGATGGTCCGGGCCAGGAAGGGTGGTGGTGTATAGACGTTTTCTGCGTATTGTCGAGCAGCAACAATCAGGAGGAAAAGAAACACACAGACACAATTAATCCTCGATTCCCTAGAAAATATGGGAAAATATGGGAAGTGGGGGGGAAGACAGAAACCCAGACAATATGGGAATATATTGGAATCTTTTTACTTGTGTGTATTTATTTGTGTGTCCTGGGGCCCCTTCAAAAAAACAAGCACGAGATCGAAGAGCGCTCGGGGAGCGGACGGCCGAGCGGTGGCCAGACGTGAGCGCCGGACGGAGGCGGGGTCGACGGCGCGGGCCCTTCGCGCGCCGCAGGCCTCCCGCGCGCGAGGTCCCGCGCGGGCGCCCCCCTGCTCCGCGCGGTGTGCTGCGCGGACGGCCCGCGCGGCAGCCGCGGCGTACGGTCGCCGTGCCTTCTCGCGCAAGGCTCGCGGAGGAGGCGGAGGAGGAGGAGGAGGAGGAGGAGGAGGAGGAGGGAAGAGGAGGAGGCGGGAGGAGGAGGAGGAGGGAGGAGGAGGAGGAGGGAGGGAGGGAGGAGGAGGAGGAGGAGGAGGAGGAAGAGGAGGAGGAGTCACGTCGTCGTTCAAGTGGGTCCCGCTCAGCGGCCGCAGCCGCGGAGCGCGGTCATCCCAAAGTCTGTAGTAGAGGCCTCTCGGGCGGGGCCAGAGCAGGCGGGGTCAGAGGATCGCGCCGCAGTGCCGAGGCATCGGCGATGGGAGCCCGACTCTCTCCACGCCGACGTTGCCGACGTCGCCGATGACGTCTGCTGTGCAGCGGCGATGCGGCGCGATCTCCTGACCCCATCTGCTCGGCTCCATGTGGGAGGCCTCCAAAGGTCCACACGTACTACGCGGACGGGGCGTTCGAATTCACGCGGAGTGTTCAGTCTCGCGGTTATGTGCGTTACCTGCGGCACAGCGACGACGGCTCGTTCATGAAGGACTCGCTCCAGTATTCGAACTTTGTTGGGGAGTGGCCGCTGTGGGCGAAGTTTTTCTACTGCCCCGGCGTGTCGGTCAAGTATCCAGCTGCGCTGCCGCGCATAATATCCGCCACCGCGTTTTGGGGGGGAATTTGTGCAGCAGCGCTGCGGCGCAGCACGGCGGCGGCATCGCACTGGTATCGCAGGGACCCTCGGGGAGCATATTCTCGGGGCAGGCATTGTCAGGCCCTTGCTGGGCGCTGTCTTTGGGGGGTCGTGTGGGTTGTGGAGCTGCCTGGGGGCCGTCTGGGGTCTGGTGAGTCCTAGGGGGAGCTGGGGAGGTCTCCAGAGGTCCCGGCGCTAAGATGAAATCCACACCTCCAACACTTCTGATCACGGCCACGAAGCTCAGTGAGGCAAGCGCGGGAACCTTGAACTTGCCACGTGAAACGTGCAATCGAGCTGAATCGTGACGCTGGAGAGTGAGGCAAACCGAGAAGGACGAGAGAGGGGGGCCCAGTGGTATGGGCCTTTCAAGAACCCCCAAGCGCCCAGATATCTGCATCATCGATTCCTCTTGGGGCCACCTTGGTCCCGCCATCGGCTGCTTTGGACCAGCCGTGAGCGTATTGCTGGCGTCTCGACCGCCTGCCTCAACGATCGCCGCCCAGCTCGGCCCGACCTGCTTCCCCCAGGACGCTTTTCTGTCATGCCAATAGTGTGCTGGCCTTATTATCATGTTCCAACGTACTTTAGCCTTGATCACCAGAAAGAGTTGCGAGCAACAAGGATGTATCGAAACTGGATGGGGGTTCGCGTGTCGGGCCACGCGAGGCGATACTCGTTCGGCACTGCTTCGATACTTTTCTGGGTGCTCGAACTGCTGCTGGGACTCGGTCCTTTCGCTGGGGTGACCGTTGATGCGGGCCCAGTGGTGTCCCCCGATCGCAGAGCGCGATGCGATGGTAGCGTCTTGCGCGCTCGTGTTTGGTCCCCCCGCGGCCCCCAAAAGCCGCGCACCAAAGGCCATTCTTACCCAGGAAATCTTCGTTTAAATCTTCACGAACATCTTCACCCCGCAGCCCCATCCAGCTTGACTCTTCATGTAAATCTTCACGTGCATCTTCACCCCGGATGCCCGCCGGCCTAAATCTTCATTTACAGATTCGCATACATCTTCACCCCGGAGCCCCGCCAGCTCAAATCTTCTTCATTTAAATCTCCCCTTAATTCTTCACCCAGAACCCCCCAGCATGACCCCCCGAACAAACCTCCCAGCGGCCCCCCCTCATAAAAGATGCCACCCTAAACATGCGTCTTTAAAATACTTATTTTGGGGTGCCCACTTAGAATTGCATTTAAGGTTCACGTGGATTGGCGCAGATTTCATAATAGAAAGCATTGTTTTGTTTAGTGCCGCGTCATTGCGTTTTTTCTTATTTGTATAAAAGTCTGAGTGTTGTGGCTCGCCCGACGCGGCGCTCAAAACTCTACGCGACAACCCAGATTTTTAAATTCATTGTTTTCGAAAACCCTTGTTTTTTTCAGACTCCCTGTGCATACATGTATGTATGTAGATTTGTGGGTGCTGCCGATGCTAAGCAACCTATGTGATGCAACATAGCAACCAATCGTTGTGGTACGATCGATGTTATGCAATCTACGTTGTGCAATGTATGTGTGTCATGGATGTGTGTCACCTAGGTGGCGCAGCCAATGAGTGCAATGCTGGCGGTGCGCAGTCTATCTAAATATATGTGTATGTGTGATGCGATATGTTGTGGAATATACGTTGTGTTCCTTATGTGATGCAATTTATGTGGTGTAATTCACTTTGCCGGACTGGAAGTTGTCGATTCCACTGCTCGCGCGATCAAGCCACCCAACCACCCGCAACGTGGTTTGCGAAACCCATGCGGAAGCGAAAGCGATTTGTGTTTGGTGCTGGCTGGTGCATCTCCGCGGCCGCACTGACCCGCGCATGCTCGCGCGCGCAGCGGCCAGCTAGGTTGGCGCGACTGGCGCGAATTCGGTGGCGCTGACCGCTCGGCACATCCCAGCGGGCACTTCAGTGCGAGTCGGCGACTTGGGCTGGCGCGGCATCATGGCAACGTCGACAACGGTAGACACGGTGATGATAGTAACGATGCTGTCTGCGATGCGGACAGCGACGACGGGACAGCCAGTGACGGCGCCGATGCTGATAAGGCCCACGACCCACGACGATGACGTCGTCTTCGCGTCGTTGATGAAGGTTTTTGGAAAGAGTTCGATACGCTCGCGCGGCACGCGCGAGAGAGGCCCGCGTGGTATTATTGGACAAGGGTCGTCCACCCCAGCACGCGCGCCAGGGCCCTCGAACGAGTCCAACATTCGTGTGCGAAACCTGTTTGGTAGCATGCTATGAAATATTTGAAGTGGGAAACGATGGTTCTTTCTGGAGGATTCGCAAGAGCGCGCGTGCATGTTTTACTCGTTTCGGGAATCCGTGTTGCGAGACTTGTTGTTCTCATATGATTTTCTGGGGCATTCGATTTGGACATCGATGTGTGTTTTGGGGTCCGTTTTTGTCGCACGCGCGCGACGACGCGCGCGTGCGCATTTCTTTAATGTTTTGGCAAGGGGGCATTGGACCTATATGAGTTTTGATAAACAAATCCGCGCGCATAGATGGCGGGGGGCGACACCGGCTTTGCTGGGATGGTATGAGTTCATACCTAACATGGAAGATGGGGCAACATCATATGTAAATTGCCATACGAAAATGGGAGCCGATATCCTCGGGGGTCTATTTTCTTTTTAGACAAAAATCTACGTGGTGCAATCTATATCTTGCTTTCCTTGTTGCGGCGACGGGGCGGCGACGGCAAATAATAGCTGCCAAACAAGCGCACTGGCCAAGACGACGGGTGACGACGAGGCGGCGACGTGACGGCGACGGCGAACACATAGCCGCTAAACCAACGCACAAGGCCCAGACGATGGGCGACGACGCGGCGGCGACGGGGCGGCGACGGCGAATACATACCAGCCAGACCAACGCGCAGGCCGGGTCTCTTAGACGAAGTGCAAGAACCCCGAATTCGGTGCAAGCACTGTTTGGGGAAAAGCCTGCACTGCCCCCCCCCCAGGCGGCGCTTCCGTCGCCGCCCGTGGCGCGCTCCGCGTGCCAGGGAGGGCCAAATGCCGATCCGAAAAATCTGCGCGGACCTTTGAATTTTGGCGCAGGGGCGCCGCAGAGGGGGCGCGTCCGCTGGCTTTTGTTTTCTCGTCGTTCCTTCAATCCCTGTCCGCCGCCGCGCAGCACAGACTGCTTGGAGCTGGTGTCACATAGCTTAGACCCCCGACGTCGCGATTTTTTCCAAGAGCGTCGACCCCGAGAGGTCTCGACCCGTTTCCCAGAATAGTTTTTTGTCCTGAGTCGTTCTTTTCATCCCGAGGTTTGGTGGGGGCCCCTAGAGGCCGAAGAAACCGACAAAACATCAGTCGCGATTTTTGTCACAGCTCGAGGGGGCCTGCGGGTTGGGCGACTCTTGCTCCTCCTCCTCCTCCTCCTCCTCCTGTTCCTCTTCATCCGCCTCATCCTTCTCCTCTTCTAGTTGTTCTCCTCCTCCATTTCTTCTCGTTATATATATATATATATATGTCCCTACTGTCGCACCCCGAGGCCAGATTTTTGTGCGGGCTGGGCGTTTCGCCTGAGACGTCCTCACCACGTATGACCCTGAAGCTGCAAACATTGGCAATTGTTTCACAGATGCAGGGCCGGTCGTTTTCAAAATGGGGTTCTCAGTTCAGCACCGCGCACATTCGTGTTTAAAATTTGCAAGAGTTTCACGGATTGATGGCGGGTCGTTTTCAAAATTTGGTTCTCGTCTTAGCGCCGCGTAAATTTGTTTGGAACAGTTGCAAGAGTTTCGCGGATTGAGGGCGGCACGTTTTCAAGATGCGGATATGGCGGTTCTTTTTCATCATGAGGTTCTCGCCTTAGCGCCGCGCACATTCGCTTTCAGAAATTGCAAGAGTTCCATGGGCTCCCATGATCAGCATATCAGAAATGGTGTTTTTGGAACGACTCTGGATTCCGAGGGTGCAACAGTTACATTCATTTGGGGTGTTGAAATCCCAGGAATGGCTTTCTGGTTCGGTTCAGGGTCGTCAAGACGCAACAGCCAGGTTGATCCGTGGCGTTGGAATCCCGAGAGCAATGTTTTGACATGCTTCAGGGTCTTCAAACGATTGTCTTCCAACGAGGCAGTTCCCGCAGAAGTGACCCGCTGTAGGGGGCCTGGGAAGAGGGAGCTTGGAGGGAGGGTTTCTTCTAATATCGTTGATGGCTCTTGGGTTTACACTGGTCTTCTTCCTCCTCCTCCTCCCTGTCCTCCTCCTCCTCCTCCTCCTCCTCCTCCTCCTCCTCCTCCTCCTCCTCCCTGTCCTCCTCCTCCTCCTCCTCCTCCTCCTGGGGTGGAGCGAGCGGGCTCCTTGGAAGACGCTCCCTGGACCCGAGGCGGGTGCGCGCGGGGGCGGGCCAGGAGCCGTCGCCCGGGGCCGTGCGCAGCGTGCTCGTGGCGCAGGCGCTCGGCGAGGTGGAGGCCCCGGAGGCCTGGCCGGCGGTGCCCGACGAGGGCGTGCCGCTGGGCGGCAGCGTCATGGTGCGGGAGGACCCGGAGGCAGAGGAAGGAGATCTGCCGAGGCTGCTGCCCTGCTCCCGTCATCATGCCCTTTCCTGACGAACGAACAGCACACGCCCATGCCCATAGGGGGAACGTTGGGAAGAGGACTGGCTATGGGTATGGGTGCGGGTTGTCGGTCGGATCCTCGGGGGCGTTTCCTTTCGAGCGGGGACCCCCATCCGACAACACGCACCCATAGCCCCCTCCGTCCCACCTATGGATATGGGTGCGTGTTGTTCGTTCGTCATTTGTGGGCCTCCCGGGTGGCCCTTGTCGCCACCGCTGGATTCGCTCCGAAGTTCGAGTCAGAACGCACCCCCAGGAAAGGCCCGTGGAGTAGCATGGTCGGTACCTTCTGGTCTGGGCCCTCGCCATGGAGGGAACGGGTCCTGAGGGAAGCGGGTCCTGAGGTTTTTCGCCGTTTTCGGGTTCCCGGGGCCCTCCATGGGCCCCGGGATTGTCAGAAAACGACTCAGGATGATGATCTCGTTTTTGGGGAAGGCCCGAGGGGCCAGGACCCGTTTTCCTCAGGACCCGGTTCCCCCATGCGATCCATTATGTCGAATGGCCTTCGGCCCATCCAGCCACCGTTCTTGGGTTTTGGGTATGAAGCCTTTCGATGTTCGTTGGGATCTCGTGGGGGGCCTCTCGGGAGCCGTTTGAGGGCCTCATGGGGCCTCTTTCCATGTTTTTAGGGGCCTCTTTGGGCTTTTTGCTGGCCTCTTGGGGCCTCCTGGGCGCCTTTTGTCCTGGGGGTCCTCTTAGGGTGGGAGGCTGGGATTTTCGGTTCGTGTTTCCTCTTGTGGGGCCGTCTGATGGCCCTCTTGGGCCGTCTTGGGCGCCTCTTGGGCCGTTTTGGGGCGCTCTTAGGCCGTCTTGAGGACCTCTTGGGGACCTCGTGGGCCTTTTTGGGATGGTCTTGGCGGCGTTTTGGGCCGTTTTGGAGCGTCGGAAAGAAGGACCCAACCATGCAGCTGTGAGTACCGCGTCTGTGATTATCGTATACGGTGGAGCTTTTCATGACGGCACGAGCCGTGTGAAGGGTGTGCCACAGTGGAACGGCGGCGACACGCGGGCGCTACCACTGGGGCCTTCGGTGGAGCTCCCCATAGGGCCTTTGGCGTGGCTCCCTCTGTCCGAGATCTTTTTGATGGGGGGTAGCGAGACATGTCAGATCGTCCAAGATTGTCCTCTCTGTTTGTTTCTCTTCTCTGTGCCCGCTCACTCCAGAGCCCAAGGCTGCGGGCGCAGCGCAACGCGGAGTCCCCGCGACGCGCGCCGGTCGCCCCGGAGGGGTCCCAGCGACGACGCGCGCGGGTCGTCCGCTGTGCGGAGCAAAGAGGACTAGCCTGCTTGCCGATTCCGAGCAAGGTTGCGGCTTGCCGGGCAGAGCGACGACAGGCGTGCGAGGCTCTGGGCAGAGCGCAGTATGGAGTTCCCGCGACTCGCGCTGGTCGCTCCGAGAGGGCCCCAGCGACGCGCGCGGGTCGTCCGCGGCGCGGGGCCAAACAGTCAAAGCGTCGAAAGAAGGCAGGGCTCGGGCAGGCCGCTCCCCTGGCCAGGCGCGCGGGCAAATTCGGTGAAGCCCAGCTCCCTGGCGAGGGCCGTCGCTTCACTCTGGCACCGGTTTGTGCGCGCCGCAAACTGCTCCAGCTGCTTCCACAAGCCCTCTGCTGGCCCTGCCAGGAAAACTCGATCCGCGGCGCCCGCATGAGCAGGAGGTCCTCGCGGCGCGTTGCGCGCGAGAGCAGCGCGTAGAGTTGCAGCCGCCGGTCGTCGTCCTCCTCCTTGTCGTTCCCGATCTCGTGGGGGCCGCAGTCCCGGATCGCGCCTGGACGACGTCGGCCGAGGGGGCGGCGCGCCAGAACAGCTCGCGCCCATGCGTGGTATGGGGCCACGAAGAGTTTGAAAGGTGCGCTTACTATGGGGCCACGAAGCGCTGTAATGGGCGCAGAAAAACCACATGCGAGTTCCGCCAATGGGACCTTCCGTGGAGCTCCCGATGGGGCCACGAAGCGCGGCACTGGGCGCAGGAGCCGCATGGGGCCTCGAAGCGCTGTAATGAGCGCCGGAACCGCAAGCGAGCTCCGCTTGTGGGGCCTTCGGCGGAACGCTTCATGAACCACGAAACGCTGGGCTGGGAGAAGGAACCGTAGGCGAGTTTCGCCACTGGGACCATCGAAGCCACGAAATTCTGCACTCGGCGCAGGAGCCGCGTGCGAGTTCCGCCGCTGGGAGCGTCGCTGAAGCCCCCATCTGGGGCCACGAAGCGCTGTGCTGGGCGGGGGAGACGCACGCGAACTGCGGAGGGGGGAAAAGGGAGGAGGGGGAGGAGGAAATAAGGAGGAGGGACACGGGGCATTGTCTCTTCAAAACGAGGACCTAACACGACAGCGTGGTTGGAAATCAATGATGTGTGCGTCTTGGGGCCCTCGTTGGGAGGCTTCTTGGAGGCCTTTGGGGGCGTTTTGGAGGCCTTTCGGGCCACTGTGGGGCCATCTGGGGCGTCTTGGAACAATCTTTCGGCGATTCCAGAGGCCTCTTGGACCGCCTTGGACGCCTTCAGGCTCTCTTGGCCCGTCGCGGTGCCTCTAGGGTCCGAATAGTAGCGACGAGATGCAGGGGCGGCCGGGGTGTGCGCGACAAGCTCCAAAACATGTCGGCATGTTTTTTCGCCTCGTCCTCCCTCTGGTCAAAGCCGGCGGACGGAACCCCCAAGTGCGGCGCAATCGCGCCGCGAGGCCATGGGCCGTGCCCACCGTGTCGTCATCGCTGGCTCCCCGCAAAACACGATGCAGACCTCGCTGAAGCGCGTGGCGGGGTTTGGGATTCAGGGTTGTGCGTCGCAGGATATCGCGCGCCCGACAGTGCGCGCGTTCGACATGACACAGAATGCACGCTCGATTTCGCGGACGTTCTGAAGGCCATTGGCTTCTTCAACGCGTTCAATTCTAAGCCGCCCACTGTCCTTCCAGACCCGATCTACCCCCAGCACCAGTTTACTCTTTGTGCTAAGCGTCATTTTCAGCCAAGTACCCGGTTGCTGTTCCTTTCCGAAGGGGTGATCCGTGAAATTCTCGTTTCGGCCGCGCGTCCGCTCGATAAGGACATTGCCTCCAACTGGCTTGGTGGCGACAGATTCGTCGCTCGCCTTGGTGAGGACCTTGTTCTCATATGCCATTTGAGTTTGACAAAGCGGAAGACCCTGAGGACCTGATGCTTGTTGTCTTTGTGCGTTTCTTGTTCGCTGTCAAGCGTGGCGGACTTGAACAGTGCATTGCATTTTTAGCAGGACGCTTGCAGGCCGCAGGCTACGGGGGCGACCTCTGTGATCACCAACCTGGGCGATGCGTCAGTCGCGAGACGCTCTGGTCCTGTTTTTCTTTCATTTTTCCGGTTTTGTCAAACGTTATTAATTTGAAGAGGTGTCCATTCCTTTCTCTGCTCTCCAGGCTGGTGCCAACCTGTCTTATGTCTCGGTCAGGGCCCGCCCTTTTTGCCCATGTTCCATTCAAGACCGGATCGTGGGACGCTCATGCTCATTTCGCCGCGGTTCAATCAACCAATAGGAAAGCAGTTCCTCCGTGTGCACGCTTTCTGAAGTTCGCTAAGCAGCTATGTGTATTTCGTGCGCATGCAAATCACGGCCCGATTGCGGGCATTCAAGAACTGCGTAGGGAGCTTCGTCGCTATTTTCATTGGTCGCTCTCTATATTCATGTTGAAATCGTGAAGTTGGGTTGGTCGCTCTGACCCAGCCTGGCCTTGACAGGGTCTTCTCGTCTATTACCTATAGTGCTGGCGTTGAAAAACTGATTGAATTCCCATCTCTCGGGGCCCTACGGATACCCCTGGATATTTATCGCTCACACGCCTGATGCCAACAACGTGGTCAATGTCTACGTTGTTTCTCCGAGATATACCAGCTGCTCTGCCAGACCCTGCCTGTGCTTGGCTCTTCCCAGTGGCGGTTGGAGTCTTGCTCTCTCGGTTGACGGCAGGCTGCAGGCAAATGAGATTGGATGGTTGTTCGGCGATGACCGTCGGATTGCGTTGTTTTTCGTCGGATGTGCGGGAGTTGGGCGGAGCTGCATGAATTGGAGGGCACTGGCAGTAAGGTTCGAATTGGGGCATTGGTGCACAGTGCTCGTCTTGACCTCGCACGCAGTACAAGTCGCTCTGCCCATATTCGGGACTTGACTGTGTCTGGTGCGGTTCTTGAAAAGCTTCAGGCCGACGTGATTTCTGATCAGTTTCCCGCGGCCATCTTTATTCGCGCTTTCAAGTCCCCAGAGGCCCCCAAGAGGATCCCTACCTGGATTTCCCGTCACCCAGAGTTTTCGGAGATTTTGGGCACGGCCCTACAAGCTCTTCCTGAAGGTACCCCGCGGGGCCGTCTCGCAACTGAAAATGACCTCATGTTCGAAGTCGCTGATGAGGTCAAACAGACTTGCTCCTCTCAGCCGGCTGGCACCACGGAGTTGAAGCATTGCCGTGCGTTGCAGCCTCTCTGTGCTGGGCGGTCTGCGGACACCTCTGAGCTCGCGAGCGCCACCGCCGCTGACGCCGAGCTGGCCGAACACTTCGTTACCGGCCTTCGGCGTGCCACACTTGCTGGGATTTGTCCACGTATTCTCAGGAGGGGAGAAAACACACAGACACAATGAATCGTCGATTCCACAGAAAACTTAGGAAAATGTAGGAAGTGGGGGGGGGAAGACAAACACAGGGAAAATGCTGGAAACTATGGGAATCTTGCTATTTGTGTGTGTTTATTTGTGTGTCCCTGGGCCCCTTCATTCCTAACGCCCCGGCCGCTGAGGAAATTGCTCCGGACCGGGCTGGCCCTTGGTCTCCCGACTCGCGGGACAGCAAGCGGCGGAAACAGGCGTCGCGGAGGGAGCCCGTGCGGACGATGAGGTGTCGCTTTTGTTTCGGGGTAGCGTAAGACCGGGGTTTGCCAGGACGCGGGTTCGCCATCGTTTTTTGACGACCGCGACTCGGATTTTGACGAGTAGGAGTTTCGCGGGATGTCTGCAGCGGGAGGCCTCGTCAAAATGCAGGCTCGGCCTCGTCATTTTTTTGACGACCTCGTCGGGGATTTCCGAGTCCCCTGTACCCGGGTCTTACGCTCCCTTGATTGTTTTCAGGGGGCACTGTCGGATTCTGGGGTCCGCAGTCGGACAGGCGACGAGGCGGCGCAGGCCCTCGAGGGTCGCTGGAGGCACGTCTCGTCAGCTGCCGGGGACGACGAGTCCCTCTGGCCCGAGCTGTGGAAGTCTGCTCAGCGGATCCCAGATGTGCCGGACCATCCGAATCTGAATGATGTCCTTGAGAGTGGGCAGTTGATGGAGGAGGAGGATTGGAGGCGCATGATCCAGGGAAGGGTCGACAACGCGCCTGGGGTTTGAATTCCATGCTCTGCCTTGAAGGTGACATCGGCTGCTGAACTTCTATATGAGAGTTGATGCGCTTTCTTTCGCAATGCGCGTTCAGACATCCCTGGGGATGCGAAGAGAAGTCTCATGTTTGCTCTCCCTGCACACATCCTGGAAACTGAGGTAGGGGAAGGTGACTATCGTTCCCCCATGACCAGTCGCCCCCTCAGCATGACGAGAACGGTTGCCGAGCTGACATATGCCACGATGACTTAGGTCATCATTCGCCAGGTTGCGAGTCTGAACTGCGCCGCGTGCCGCAGAAGTGTTACTGTGGGCGGGATGTCCGCGGATGTCATGCAGCATGAAGGCTTAGCGGTGGTTTCTCCTCCCCCAGCAAGCGCCCGACCGGTGCTCCTTCTCACGGGCTTCGAAGCGCCCCCGGCCCCCTTATCTTTCAAGCATGATAGGAAGACAGCGCGGCCCTTGTCTACATCTTAGGGAGGTCCTTTGGCTCTTTCGCAACCGGTCGGGGAGGTCGCCAAGGGGGCCCGAGCTTCATGCCCACCTCCATCTTTGCCGTGGAGCCAGTGCTGGCCTGGATTGAATGGCGCCTCTCAGGTCTGATTATTGTGTCGCTTGCTACTGCCTTTTCGTACTGCGGCGCCTGAGCGATGGTTCTGGGCCATTTCTTCAAAGTTTGTGCGAGTTATGCGGTGCAATTCGTTGGTTTTGCGGTGAATTTCCCTAAGTGCGAGACTGTTATGGTGCATGAGCGTTGGATGGTTCTCTTTCGCTGTCCCCTCGAGGACCTCGGGCCTCCTTTCGACGCGGTGGGGACTGTATCTTGCGTCCAGCATCTCGGGATTTGGCTCTGGCGGGGGGCCGAGGAGGTCATGTGGAAGGAGAACGCGACTAAGCTTCGGAAGAGGACGAGGCAGATTCGCGATCTTGGACTCGGTTCGGGTCTCTTCTGTATTTCGCGTTGCAGCAGCACCCGCCGTCTCGAGCGTTAGCGAAGATTTGCCGTTCAAGCGTTCGCTTCTTGTCTGCTGGACCAATCAACGCCCTCTCCAGTGATATGAACCCCGGTCTGACACGCTATGGTCTGCCGGCGGAGTTTCCCAGATTTGAATTTGTTGCGGTCGCACCTCGCACCCGCTACGTTACTACTATGTGCGATGAACTATTCAGGGCCTAGGCCCACTTGGGTACTGCAGTCGAAGATGACGACCGGTGCGTGGCACACGTAGTGGCTAGACAGATGGCACCCTCGGAGTTTCTTCACCTGGTTCTTTACCAACCGAGCCTCTCTTCGTGAATGCAGACTTCGAGTTCACGACGAAGGACCGCTTGGCGTGCAGCAGCCAGAAGCAGCGCACGGGGGCCTCGTGCCCACCTCAGATTCCCGCAGCGCCCCCGCTCGACGCCAGCTTCCGTCGGGCCCGCAGCCGGTTCCTCGGGTGGTTCGGTTGGATGTTGGGGGCTTCGCCGAGGTCAGCCTGTCCCGCCTGTCTCGGCTCCTTGCCTGGCCCGCGTTTCTCTGTCGGCCCGTCCTGTGGTCCGAAGAAGAGAGCGCCTTCCAGTTGCTCGTCTCACTCGGTCTGCCCAGGCGCTTCTCCGAGCGCCGTGAGGGGCCCGGCCCGCGGCGGCCGGTCTGCAGACCGTTTCTTCTTCTTCTTCGCCAAGGTCAGCGGTCTGGTTCGGAGGGCTAGCATGCACCTCCCCCTGGCCGTCATCCGAAAGTTGGCGAGATGTGTCTGCACCAACTCTGAGGGTTCACTCTGCACCCCGAGGAGGTGCTCTTGGCTGCCACTCCCCCAAAGGCCCCTCTGAAGGCCTCGCCGACATGAAGCGCTACCTCGTGTGCCTCAATCTCCAGCTACTCCTTGGGAAATGGATGGATGGGTGGACTCCGTGGCCTTCTGGGGCTCCCGAGGGTACGGCCTGGTTGAAGGACCTTCTTCTGTTTCACGGGTTGGGTCCTGACCAAAGTCTTCTTTTCAGCATGTTGTGTGACGCGTCCGCCAGGTAGTGCCTTCCTAGTTCTCCGCCTCAGAACTTCGAAGCACGCTTGCGGGTGCAAGATCAGAGGCACCGAGATGTGTGCTGTGTGTGTGGCTTATCCTTACTCGTGAAACATGTCTTCGTGGGCGGGGTTTAAACTGAAAGGGATGTCGGAAATTCGGATCCAGGCCCCTAATTGGCTTTCCAGAACTGAGGACTGAAGTTCAGGGGATTGGGCAAGAGAACCTGAGGACACGCCCACTCCGTGCCCAGCGGCACAGCGGCGAACTCGCAAAGTGCCTACCCGCGAACGTCCGGAAAGCACGCTTGCCTCAATGCCATGGATCGGTGATCCCCCGCGACGGCCCCAGGCCATCTGCGAGTGGTTACTTTGCGAGTGATGCAAAGCGCTGGTAGAGAAGAATACCAACGGGCACACACACACACACAAAAGTCTTGCAGCTCCGCGCGGGTGTCTTGGACCTGTGCTGGGGCCCCTTGGCGGCGCCCCCAGCGCCGATCCGAGAACCCCGCGCGGAGCTCGACAAAGTTTGTGTCAATGTCCTTCGCACTCCTGTAAGGACGGCTCGCACATGCCGCTCGGGACAGGCGCGCTGGGCGCAGACTGGGGGGGCGACGGCATCAAAACAGATCCGTTGCCCTAGACTTCTTATGATGTTCTTATGATGCCCTTGACCACCAGGAATAACTCTGAGCACCAGGAAAGTACCGAAATTTGAGGGGTTTCACGTGTCGGACCCTGGGAGGCGATATTATTTCTGGGATGAGGTCCCTGAGTACGATGGGGGCAACGTAACCCTAGACCCCCCCCTTTCCCCGTTGGGGTGCTGGAGCTGTCCAGCGCGCCTCCGGGCTCCCGGGGGGCAGGCGCGAGGCCGTATAGCAAGCGCCGTGGGGCGCGTCTGGGTTGGTCCACGTATGCCCCTGATGGCCCATGGTGCAGGAGGACGGCTCGCGCGTGCCGCCCAGAGCAGGTGGTTGTGCGCAACACCGTATGCCAGGAACCGAACGCGAGGAAAAACGCCCCGATAAACAAAATCGTGCCGTTGGAAATCTGGGTTAGTGGATTCGCGGTGCGCGCTCGGGCGCGCGCCCCCCCCCCGCCCCCCCTCCTCCTTCTGTCCTCCCCTCCGTGCCACAGGGCTTCCTTCGCGCTTGTAAAAAGTGCGCAACACCGTATGAGAGGAGTGGACATAACCCCCACCCTGACACGTCGATTAGTGATTTGTCCGTTTTCGGTTCTCGAGAGGGCGCCGCGGCCGTCATTTTTCAGGCTTGCGCCCGCCAGGTTCGGGCCCGAGGTCGCCCTCACTGAACCACGTTTTGCTGAAGGGGGTCCTGTCCGTCCCCGAGTACCAATGAAGTGGAATCGAGGAAGCGCAAACCTGGATAAAGGCGCGTGTTGTTGGCGACGGGTTCCGCTTCCGTGCTGCATCGGGTCGCAATTTGGCCGCCCGGTGTAGATCAGAGGAGGAAGACCCAGTTTTCCGACGGTACGATGTTGTTTATCGGGGGAGGAGGAGGAGGAGGAGGAGGAGGAGGAGGAGGAGGAGGAGGAGGAAGACCCAGATTTCCGACGGTACGATGTTGTTTCTCGGGGCGTGTTTTTTCCCTCGCGTCCGGTTTCTGGTTCCGATCATCGGGCCCCAGAGGGCTCGGAGCAGGTCAGACACGCCACCTTGCATCACTGTATATACATATATATATACATATATATATATATATATATACACAGGCTGTTGATAGAACCCACACCATGCCAAGTCGATTATCGGATTGATCTGTTCCGGTTCTCGAGAGCGCGTCGCGGCCACATTTCTGCAGGCCTTCCCCCGCCGGGGTGGGTCCCAGGTCGATCTCACGACACGGTGTTTTGTTGCACGGGGGTTCCGTCCACCCCCGAACAAAAGACTACGACTCCGAGGCGGAAAACAGGAGGACAGAAGAAACCCGAAGACAAAAACCGCCGGCACAAGCAACAAATAATAGCATCAGAGTGAGGGGGCTGAACCGAACGGTCATTGATTGTCCTTAGGTGCGGCTGAAGTGGAATTCCGCGATGCGGATTCTCATTGTTGTTTGTTGTTTGTTGCTTGTTGGTGTCGTCGTCCCACCCGCGACCCGCCCCGCGACCCACCCCGCGACCCACCCCGCGACCCACCCGCAACCCACCAGCGACCCACCCCGCGACCCACCCGCGACCCACCCGCGAACCCCTTGCGACCCACCCGCGACCCACCCGCGACCCACCCCGCGACCAGCCCGCGACCCACGCCGAGACCCCCGCGGCCACCCACCCGCGAACCACCGGCGACCCACCCGAGACCCACCCGCGGCCCACCCCGCGACCCACCAACGCCCCACCCCGCGACCCACCCCGCGACCCACCCGCGACCCCCGTGACCCACCCGCGACCCGCCCCGCGACGCACCCGCGACCCACCCCGTGACCCACCCGCGAGCCACCCGCGACCCACCCGCGACCCACCGCGACCCACCCGCGACCCACCCGCGACCCCACCCGCGACCCACGCAAAATGTTCGGCGCCCGCGGCGGGTTTCTTTTGCATTCGTTCCAGGTGGAGAACCTGCGACCCACCCGCGACCCAAACTGCGTTCAGTGTACAAATCAAATGCTTGGCACCTGCGGCGGGCTGTTTTTGAATTCCTTCCACGTGGAGGTGGAGAGCCCGCGACCCACCCGCGACGCAAACTACGTTTACTGAACAACCCAAAATTTCGGCGCCTGCGGCGGGTTTCTTTTGCATCGGCGACCCACCCCGCGACCCACCCCGCGACCCACCCGCAACCCACCAGCGACCCACCCCGCGACCCACCCGCGACCCACCCGCGACCACCCCGCGACCCACCGCGACCCACCCGCGACCCACCCGCGATCCACCCCGCGACCCAAGTAAAATGTTCGGCGCCTGCGGCGGGTTTCTTTTGCATTCGTTCCAGGTGGAGAACCTGCGACCCAAACCGCGTTCCGCGTTCAGTGTACAAATCAAATTCTTGGCGCCTGCGGCGGGCTGTTTTTGAATTCCGTCTAGGTGGAGGTCGAGAGCCCGCGACCCACCCGCGACGCAAACTACATTCTTTGAACAACCCCAAACGTCGGCGCCTGCGGCGGGTTTCTTTTGCATTCGCTCCAGGTTGAGAACCTGCGACCCAACCGTGTTCAGTGTAGAAATCAAGATTCTCGGCGCCTGCGGCGGAGGAGGAGGAGGAGGAGGAGGATAACGAGGAGGAAAAGGAGGAGGTGGAGGAGGAGGACGCGCACGACGACGACGACGACGACGATGAGGACGAGGACGCGGACGAGGAAGAGGAGAAGGATGAGGAGGAGGAGGAGGGCGCCATCGACAGGGAAGGTGAGGGCCACGAGATCCGCGGGCTCGACGTCCGCGTCGCCCGCGCCCGCCCCCTCACTCTTATCCGCAATTGCGGGGTGCTGCGTGTTTTAAAAAGTGCGAGTAACAAAAAGCCTGGACAGACAAAACAACCCTTCTCTGAAAGGGTGGTTTTCGTCCACGACGCCGAGGCAAGGAGCGTCCTGGGCTCCGCGGGAGGGCCTGCGGTGGGCGGGCCGCTCCGCAGGACTTGGGGCCAGGGGGGGGGCCTCTTCGTGGCCGCAGCTCGTCGTGTCCGCAGCAGCAGCAAACAGAAGAAGAAGCACGTGCTTCTTGTGTCGCTCCCTTCTCGTGGTAGCACGGTGATGGAGAGGAGGGGGGAGGGGAGGAGGGGGAGAGGGGGGGAGGAGAGGAGGGCGGAGGCGGGAGGGAGGAGGGGGAGGGGGGAGGGAGGGAGGAGGGGAGGGGGGAGGGAGGGGGCAGGAGGGGGGAGGGGAGGAGGGGCAGGAGGGGAGGAGGGAGGAGGGAGGAGGAGGAGGGAGGAGGATGAGGAGGAGGAAGGAGGAGGAGGGATGAGGAGGGGGAGGAGGGAGGAGGGAGGAGGGGAGGAGGGGAGGAGGGGGGAGGAGGAGGAGGGAGGAGGAGGAGAGGAGGAGGAGGAGGAGTGGGCGGCGACGTCGACGGCACACACACACACGCACAAAAGCTGTCGGAGGTCGGCCCCGGAGCTCTCGGGTCGGAGGTGGACCCCCCTGAGGGCGCCAGCGGCGCGCTCCGCGCTCCAGGCCTCCTCCTCCTCCCTCCTCCTCCTCCTCTCTCCTCCTCCTCCTCCTCCTCCTCCTCCTCCTCCTCCTCCTCCTCCTCCTCCTCCTCCTCCTCCCTCCTCCTCCTCCTCCTCCTCCAGGGAGGGCCGATCCATACACTGTGGAAGGCGAGCTTCCTGTTGCAGCGAAGCAATCAAAGCAGGAACAGCATTGCCTTCCAGGCGAGCCACGTCAGCGCTCCCCCTCGGGGGACTCCCTCGGCCACTCGCCCGGGCCCCCCTCCGAACCTTCCGATGGACAGCTCGAGCCGGGGCCCTCGAGGCAGACGCCCTCCCCTTTGATCACGAGAGCTGGAATGCCGATGCCCTTCCATCGTTGTTTCGCCGTTTCGGGCCTCTTCCAGGGCTTCTTGGTGCAGTCGCCCAGAAATCCTGGTCGCAATGCACCCCACGAGAGTCCAGCGAGCAGGAGGAGGAGGAGGAGGAGGAGGAGGCAGGAGGGAGGAGTGGGGAGAAGGGAGGAGGGAGGAGGAGCAGGAGGAGGAGGAGGAGGGGGGAGGAGGGAGGAGGAAGAGGGAGGCGGGAGGGAGGAGGAGGAGGAGGAGGGAGGAGGAGGAGGAGGAGGAGGAGGAGGCGGAAGAGGAGGAAGAGGAGCAGCACACTGGTCTCGCTTGGTCCCCCCAGCAGGTGTGTCCGACGCGGCCGCGCAGGGCGCCGTAGCGATGGTGTCGCGCATGGAGGTGCTCGCGCCCGAGAGGAGCATGCCGCCAGAGGACCTGGTCGCCGAGATCGAGGCGTTCGAGCGGGAGAGGCGCGAGTTCGAGACGCAGCAGGAGCACCTCTTGCCCTTCCTGGAAGACCACATGAGACGACTGCTGCGAAGCACGTGAGGCTCGGCTGCTGGAGGGCCTCGCAGGGACAACGCCCCGGGGGGGGGAACAGCTCAGGGGGGAGGATCCATCGAGCCCCAAGCGTCCATGGATCGCCGACAGGCGCCTGATATAGCCCACCCCGCACAGGGCCCTGCGGGTGTTGCTGTCGAGGGTCCGTCGCCGATGCATCGGCGCTGCGTCGACGATCCCGGGGTGATGTTTGTGCACGCCCCCCGAGTCGGTTCCCCCCTCCACTCTACCTCGTGCATAAGAGTGCCTCTCGCCGACAGAAAAGCTGTGTTTCTCTCCGGCGGGCCTCATCTCACCAGGTGGTCGCCAATGTACACGCGGCGCCTCGTGCGACATCGAGGTGCATGCGGACACAGCTTTCGAGACAGGTGATTCGCGAACTAGCTCACGGCATGAGGTGCGCCAGTAATGTAGTGCATCGCAGTGTGCAGATTCGAGCCTGCTTGAGGCCATGTGGTCTTGAGCTCCGAAATGGCTACAGTCATTCTACGCGTCTGCTCGCGTACCCACGTCTGCGAATAGCCAGAGGAGGACAACGATACATGTCCACCTCGTTGCGGTGAACCGGAGGCGAGCGAGGAGGGGAAGTTTCGGGTTCAAGTTTCGAGGTAGTCTGGCGCTATCGTTGGTTCTCGGCGGTCTTCCGAACCTCGGGATTCGTTCCAGCAGCTGCGCCTGGCCGACAGCGTTCTGGGGTCTCCAGGATCGTCCCGAACAGCTGACGGAGGCCCAAGTTATGACCCGAAACCAAACTCGGCGGCGAGGGAGGGGTGAAGTGAGAAGGAGGAGGCCTTCTCAGAAGGCGGCGGGGTATCTCAGAAGTCATGGGCCCTTTGGGAAGTGTTCTGCGCCTTCGGGGGAGGCTCTGGAAACTTCTCAGAAGACCGGGGGAATCCCGAGCCTTCTCAGAAAGCCCGCCCCTTGTCACTTCCCCCCAGGTCTGGCCGCCGAGATCAGGGGCAACGTGAGGGAGGTTCTGTATCAAATAATGGGGGCCGCGGATGCCCTCGCTGCAATTCCGCCTCCAGGGTGCCTTGGCGTGCACTAGCATTTGCTGATCGATGAGACAGCGGACAGCGTCGGTTTGGCGCCGAGTGGCGTCGGCCAGCGTCCGTTCGCAGGAGCCAGCAAGAGGGCACGGGAGGCTCACGTGAGCTGCCACCGAAGGGGGGGGGGGAAGGGGGGGAGGGGAGAGGGCTTCTGTCAAGAAGCAGCTTCCTTCTGAGAGGCAGCCTCCTTCTGAGAAGCCCTCCCCCCTCCCTCCCCCCCCCCTTGTGCGCGCCGCCAACGTGAGCTGCCACCGAAGAGGGTGGAGGAGGAGGAGGAGGAGGAGGAGGTGGGAGGAGGGGAGGAGGCGGGAGGCGGCGGAGGCGGAGGCGAGGAGGGGAGGGGAGGAGGAGGAGTGGAGGTGGAGGAGGAGGAGGAGGAGGAGGGGGGGCAGGCTGCGCGGGGGGCCGCCGTCGACGCCCGGCTCGCCCACGGACGGCGCCGCCATATATGGGGGGCCCGGCAGCCCACCCCGCCTGCAGGGACCGTGGGGCTCTGCTGTCCTCGGGGGCGGCAGAGAGGGTCGGGCCGGGCGAGGGAGGAGGGAGGAGGGAGGAGGGAGGAGGGAGGAGGGAGGAGGAGGGAGGAGGGAGGAGGAGGAGGAGGAGGAGGAGGAGGAGGGAGGAGGAGGAGGAGGAGGAGGAGGAGGAACGCCATAATTAACAAAAAGCATCGCTTGTGGACGCTCCGCGCGGGTTGCCTGGCTCCCCTGCAGCAGCGCCGCCGTCGCCGCCGCACGGCGTGCTCCTGTCGCCAGAGAGGGTCGGGCCGGGCGAAAGGGGGGGATTGGGAAAGGGGGGGTTGCGAAATTTGCTGTATGCAGCTGGTTTCGGCCTCACCGAGGGGCCCATTCCTCGATGCATGGGCGCCTCCCGGCGCCGGGAGGCGCCGGGAAAATCAGCCACGTGAGCTGATTCTCAGACCCCCCCTTTGCTATCCCCCCCTTTCGCCCGACCCGAGAGGGGGGCGGAGGGGCAGCGAACGCGATCAGTGTTTTTCTGGGGCGACGGAGGAGGAGATCATGCTCGTAGCGTAAGAGCAAATTTTAGCAACCCAGTCGATGGTGAGAGCAAACCTGAGGTCCGAGCTTGTCGCGAATGGGTGTCGTAAGGATTGTTGTTGACGGATCCAGCGCGCCGGCTGAGCGTATTGGGATTTGGCCCGTGAAACAACGCTGCCCCCCAAGCGACCACCAAGTTATGACTAGTCCGGAGGGAAAAGAACACACACACACAATTAATCGTCGATTCCCAGAGAATATGTGAAAATATGGGAAGTGGGGGGGGAAGACAAAATTTAGAAAATATAGAAAAATATGGGAAATCCTGTTATTTGTGTGTGTGTGTTCATTTGTGTGTCCCAGGGCCCCTTCAACTAGGGGGGGCGGATATCATGGCGGGGGCCATGATATTTCCCCAGATCTCATGGCGCCTCTTCTTATTTCATGACGTCCCTGGCCCCCACGCTGGGCCGCGCACGTGCCGCCGGTCATGCTTTGCACCCCCCTCTCTTGGACACCCCCCTCTTGGCCGCTCCCGATATCGCGGGCCCATCGCCGATTTATCGGCGATGCGTCGCCGATGTCCCCCCTGAGCCGGTCCCCCTCAGCTGAGGTAAGGACCACTCTGGGCTCGGGAGGGGGATCTGGTTTCCGGACCCGTCCTCAGATCCAGATCTCCAGCGAGATGTTCGATCTGTTTTTTTTCTCGATGACGGCCTCTGGGGCCAGTTTCCGGGTCCCGGGACCATCAACCATGGATCATGGCGAAAAATGTGCCCTTGGGAAGGCGTCGTGACCTCCTGATACCGCGGATGGAAGTAATCATGTTGTCGGATGTCTTGGGATCTATGTTGGGGAGTCCATCGATTCGTAGCCGAGACTCCCGTTGCCAGTAAAGCGTATTCGTTGTTTCTCCAATTTCTTTGTTGTAGCGCGATGATTGGATCGCGCACTCCCCTTCATCTTCGTCTGACGCACTTCTCCTTCCAGGGGGTCCATTTTGATAGGATCGATGGTGCATGTCTGTCCAATCCAGCCAATGTCTATTGGTCCAACCGCTAGCCCGATCCCGTTCGATTCCGGTATTCCGTGGATCCGATGCGGCCCGATTTGGTGACATGGTGTGATGGTTGCCTTCTGGCGCAGCCGAACCGATTCGATCCCGACTCCGCGCCGGTGCGTTCCGATTCGACCCACATTTCGATGTGATCTAATTTTGCGATTCGATGTTGTGTTATATCCTGTCGTCGACTCTGCCCCAGATTCGAATGGATGGCCGAACCACCAGCATCGGGTCCGCGTCACCCCAACATATTACTACGACCTACTACTACTACGACTACTACTACTACTACTACTACTACTACTACTGCTACTACTTCCCCATATCCTAAGGATTGGGGTTCTTGTTATTACTCTGACGCCTCCCACTCCTCCTCCTTCCTCCCGCCTCCCGCCTCCCTCCTCCCAATGATACTCACCAGATAAGACAAGACAAGATAAGATGCTACAATATAAGATAAGATAGCACAATATATGATAAGGTAAGATAAGATATATGACAAGGTAGGATAATATATAAGATAAGACAGCCTATGGAGTAATAAGATAAGACAAGATATGATGCGATAAGATGAGTTGATATAAGATAAGCTAAGACAAGATAAGAGATTTCAAGATAAGATAAGATAGAGGGTAATAAAGGTAAGATAAGATAGGACTCGATAAGATAAGATGAGACTCGCTCTCACTCAGACTCACTCACAGTCACATTCACTCACACTCACACTCTCTCATGATCACAAAACGCTGCCAGGGGCATCATTTGGGAGCCCCAAGGGGGAGCCACCCTGGCTGATCTCACGAGCCCGTTCGCGCCGATTTTGGGGGGACGCCTCAGCTAGAATTGCCGCTTGGCGTCCCCAACATGTATCTCTTGAGAGCCTCATGGTCGCAAAACGCTGCCAGGGGCATCATTTGGGAGCCCCAAGGGGGAGCCACCCTGGCTGATATCACGAGCCCGTTCGCGCCGATTGGTGTGGGACGCCCAGCTAGAATTGCCGCTTGGCCGTCCCAACATGTATCTCTTGAGAGCCTCCTGGTCACAAACGCTGCCAGGGGCATCATTTGGGAGCCCCAAGGGGGAGCCACCCTGGCTGATCTCACGAGCCCGTTCGCGCCGATTTTGGTGGGACGCCTCAGCTAGAATTGCCGTTTGGCGTCCCCAACATGTATCTCTTGAGAGCCTCATGGTCGCAAAACGCTGCCAGGGGCATCATTTGGGAGCCCCAAGGGGGAGCCACCCTGGCTGATCTCACGAGCCCGTTCGCGCCGATTTTGGTGGGACGCCTCAGCTAGAATTGCCGTTTGGCCCCCCCAACATGTATCTCTTGAGAGCCTCATGGTCACAAAACGCTGCCAGGGGCATCATTTGGGAGCCCCAAGGGGGGGCCACCCTGGCTGATCTCACGAGCCCGTTCGCGCCGATTTTGGTGGGACGCCTCAGCTAGAATTGCCGTTTGGCCTCCCCAACATGTGTCTCTTGAGAGCCTCATGGTCACAAAACGCTGCCAGGGGCATCATTTGGGAGCCCCAGGGGGGGTCCACCAGGGGCTTCATAGTCACCAAACGCTGCCAGGGGCAGCATTTTGGCTTCCCAAAGAGGAGTCGACCCGGGCCTCCTAGTCGCCAGACACTGCCAGGGGCACCATTGGGATTCAGACTCGCACCCAGACTCACTCATACACAAGCTCACTCACATTCAGATTCATTTCTTCAGAGTCAGGCACACACAGACGTACCCATACTCAGACTCACCCACACTCAGGCTCACCTAACCCAGACTCCGTCAGAAGCCAGTAGCGAAGAGAGCAGAGTGGAGAGAGAGAGAGAGAGAGAGAGAGAGAGAGAGAGAGAGAGAGAGAGAGAGAGAGAGAGAA